CTGCTGGCCCGGTTCCTGGGAGGTGGAGGAGCAGAGGCATGTCGGGGCCTGGGCACCGTCCCCGCCCGACCTTCGCTGCCGGCCTGGGGCAGGCACGGGGCAGGGCCGGTACGCGGCTGCACGTCTTCCGCCCGCCGCCTTCTGAGGGGCCTGAGGCCGTCCAGGGGAGGCTGTGAAGTGGTGTCAACAAAACAAGGGTTACGGCTGTTTGGCCAGCTGCCTGGGTGAGCAGTGAGCTGCGCCGGACAGGGTATGGCAGTGGTTATCTTGTTGGCGGAGAGAGCTGCTGTTAGACCCTGATAAACGAGTCGGTGCTCTCTAGGCTCTGTTAGCGAGTAGGGAGTTGGATCTCAGGGGGTTTGGTTGGCAAGGCAGTGAGTCACACTTGGTTGGATTCATCATTCCCCACCCCCCCACCTCCCTGAGCGAAGCTGTGTGCGGGCTTCTGTGGTTTCGAAGGGGTGTTTATGGTGGCTGTCCTTTCAGAGTTCCAGAAATGGGTGAGGAAGCTGTGCCTAAGCCGTTAACATTGTGTTATCCCAGGAGAAGTTTTACATGGACTGCGTGTATGCTTGTATGCAAACTTTCTCAGAAGGCTTTGCCCCTGTCTTTAGAGGATATTGACAAACTGACTCTCTTTTGTCCTCTACGTTAGTAAGTGACCATCAACATCCTTTCGGTCACAGTTCCCCCTATTGAGTTTATGAAACTACTCCTTGAGGTATTTTCTGTACTTTAGTTCATCCTACTTCCCTAAGTATCTCTAGAAGGCAACCTCTTGTAAGATTACATGAGCTTATTTTAGAGCCGCTAATAGCTAATTACCCTGATTATTGTGTTACTACTGCCTTTCTTGCAGACTTGAATAAAACGTTTATTTACAGTGTCCGTGGGGAGCCCCTAACACAACATCAATATCCTGTTCCCTTGCTGATGTAATGAGTGAACAGCTGGCGAAAGAGCTGCAGCTGGAAGAAGAAAATGCTGCTTTTCCTGAAGTGGTTGCGTAAGTTTAAATCCTGGATTAGTGATCTTCATAGTTGTGAAGCCATCTTCTATTTCTTATATAGTGTCCTTAATGTGTAGCGATATGATAAATGCTTTGCCTGTTATCTCCTAACTCTGCTTCTTCAGGTCTTTTCGGTGAAGATGGCTTCCCCAGTTAAAACTCTTCCTTAGATTCTCTTTTATGTCACCCTTCCTTCTTTCTTGATATTTTCGTTGCATTGTTTTTGATTGTTTCTTTGCATTGCCAGTCTGTAAGCTATGCTTTGAGAAACATTGTCAGAAGTGGGTTTTTTTCTTCCCTTTTAGAGACTCTTGTTAACAGTATACAGTGTCATTTTTCAGAACTGACAGGTGTATCACCTGTATCCTGCTAATACTTGTAAGTTCTAAACATAGGCCAAGAGCCTAATAGTTCTAAACTCTTACAAATTTTGCCTGCAGTCTTTACTGTGAAGCAGAGCAAAGCAACACTGTTGGGGAGGTGTTTGTTTTCATTTATTTACTTATAAAAATATACAAATATATACATACACATGTATCTGTATGCCTTTTTTCACAAAGGCCATCTTAAAAATAGAGCCTAATGCTTCTTACAGAACGGTAAACAAGTAAAATTTTAAGTAATATTTGCGTTGTAAAGGAGTGTCAAAAAAAAATCAAGTCATGCTCTCTTGGCTTGGAGGTAGGGGCTGGACAGTTGAGATCCATTAGTTTCTATGCAGCTCTGCATGAGGTCTTTTGTATAGAGTGGTGAAATGGTGTATAGCGGTGTTTCTGTTTAGATTACTGTGCTTAATATTTTAAATTTCTTTTTTCTTTTTTATGTAGTGTTGCTGAAGGACCATTTATTACAGGAGAAGATATTGACACTTCTAGTGACCTAATGCTAGCTCAGATGCTGCAGATGGAATTTGACAGGGAATATGATGCACAGCTGCGTCGTGAAGAGAGGAAGATAAATGGAGATAGCAAAGGTACCCTCATTAGAAGAAATATTTTTACTTTGGAGATATTCTTGGCACTGTGCTTAAGATGACAGAGCTGTGAGGAAGTAGCAAATCCCTGATAATCACGGACATGCTTATTTGTTTTGTTTTTCAAGTTTCCATATCTTTTGAAAATTTTCGGAAGGTACATCCCTATGACAGTGACAGCTCAGAGGATGAGGTTGATTGGCAGGATACCCGTCATGATCCATACAGAGCAGGTATGTGTCAGTTTTAAACAGTTTTATTTCTTTGGTTAATAGACCTAAGAATATGACATAGTTAAATTAGTTTTTTTGACTGTAAGGAGGCATACCGGTTGTATATAAAATCAGGGAGGTATATAAAATGGGAGGTGTTATGGAAGAAGTTGGGCAGGTAACTTCAAGCTTCTGTCTGCTATTATATTGACTTCAGCAGCTGAATCTGATAAAATAACTATTGTACATGGAAAGTATTGTGGGATAGTCATATCCATCATCTACATTTGGCTAGGGGCATCTGCACATGATATCGAATATTCCTGTCTTTAACACGCCAAAAGTGTGTCTGACACCCCAGAGAACACAGAGAAATAAGTCATAGCGTAGCAACAGAGGCTGTCGTGTTTACGATAAGAGAACACTGCATTAAGATCATACAATTGAAGTGTTTTATTCTGTTTAACAAATAAAATTGTGTTACTTTTGTGGGCCTTGTAGAACCTTTGTGAGCATTAGTTATGTTTGTTTAGATTTATTTTTCTTACTGATGGCAGATAAACCTACTACTACACCGAGAAAGGGCTTCATAGGAAAAGGAAAAGACATTACTACTAAACACGATGAAGTGGTATGTGGCAGAAAGAACACTGCTCGCATGGAAAATGTAAGTGAAAACTTGTTTTGTGTGTAAAACCAGAATGCTGTAATTCAGGCAGAGGACTAATGCTTGTCCATCTGTGCTACTGTATATGGTTGACCTCGGCTGGATGCCAGGTGCCCACCAAGCTGCTCTATCACTCTCTTCCTCAGCAGGACCAGAGAGGGGAGAGAACAAGATGGAAAAAAGCCTCATAGGTCAAGGTAAAGGCAGTTTAGTGGAGCAAAGGCGGTGTACAAAAGACTTAGTCTCTACTTCCTGTCAGCAGATGATGTCAAGCCACTTCCCAGAAAGCAGGGCTTCAGTGCGTGTAGGGGTTGCTCCGGAAGACAAATGTTGTAATAATGAATGCCACCCCCACCTCCTTTCCCTTAGCTTTTATTGCTGAGCAGACATCATATAGTATGGAATAACCTTTTGGTCAGTTTGGGTCACTTGTCCTGGCTATGTCCCCTCTGGAGATCTTGCCCACCCCCAGCTTGCTGGTGAGGGGAGAATGTTGGAGGGACAGCCTGGATGCTGTGTGAGCACGGCTCAACAGTGGCCAAATCACTGGTGTGTTATCAACACCTTTCTAGTTACCAACACAGTGCACAGCACCATGAGGGCTGCTATGGTGAAAATTAACTCCCATCTCAGCCAGACAGTGCTGATTTTTAAATTTAATTTTTATATTATAATAATGCATTATAAAAACAATAAATAATTTTTTTAAATTGGATGAAAGCAATGCTGTGCTTCGATTAGTTATTTAATTGGCAGTTTGAGTTGTGCAGGCTTTTTTATTTAATAATAGTTTGTTAATGACCAAGATTCAAGAATTTACACAGAACTGTTTTGGCAAAACAAAACTATCAGCAAGTTTGGTACACAGGCAAATAAAGCACCAAGGCTATTTTTGAAAAGCATAGCTGTTGTGTAACCTAATTTTTTTTTTTAAATTCGTTTGGCCTGATGAGCCAAGTAACTTGTTTTCAGTCAACTGTTAAACTTACAGCTTTTCAGTAAGCTTATCCATAGTACATACCGTCCATTTTCTTTAGTGTAACTGGTGCAAGTTCTGCAAATAAGGAAATGCTGCAGGTGCCATTTTTTCGGGATGTTAGGTAATCTCGTATCAATTTGGGCAGAACTCTGAGCTATCACTTGAGAGCAATATGTTTTTTAATGTAGTGACAACATTACACAAAATGGGTTTCACATAGGTCCTAGGCTTTTGCAAATTGGAATGAGAAATTTCTGCTTGTCCCAGCATTTGGTGTCTGCTAGTAACAATGCTTAAATTTCTGTTATTTCTACTTGTAGTTTGCACCTGAATTCCAAGTTGGGGATGGAATTGGAATGGACTTAAAGCTGTCAAATCAGGTCTTCAATGCCTTAAAGCAGCATGCATACTCTGAGGAACGTCGAAGTGCAAGGCTCCATGAAAAGAAGGAGCACTCCACTGCTGTATGTTTTTAATAAAGTCTCTCTATATACTTTTTATCTTGTGTAACAGCTGAACACTGTTGTGGTAATTCCTTGAAACATTTTATTTTTAGTAAAAGAGTTAAGCGATATTATGTTAACATTGCTGAAGGAGATGGTATCAGCCAGCTTCTACTAGAAAAAGTCTGTCTTTATTTGAGCTGCATTATTGTGAGAGCCATATCAAAATAAGAGCAAGCAGCTTCCTTTTTTTTTTTTAATCTTTGTCTTTCTAAACTTGTGTCTTAATCAGCTACAGTGAATAAACTGCCTAGCAGTTATTTATAAAAGCCATCCAGAGGACTAATCCTCTGCAGCCGAATCAAGTAACTCCAAACATCTGTCTTCATAGCATGTTTCAAGAAGATGAGGTGACCAAGTAAACTCTAACTCAGTTAGGAAGTTGGTATGTTTTAGGGGTGAGTTTAGAGCAGGGCCTCTGGTAACTCTTCAAATTTGGGTGTTTCACTTTATTTTATTGTTACTGATATAAAAGGAATATTATATTTAGGATACTTTGATTCATGTTTTATAGACTTCTTGAAAACACTATAGAAAGCGCTCTTGAGCCACAGTATGTACTTCATGTGTAATTGTTAAAATACTGTATGTGCTACATAGCTGGTAAGGTACCTGAGAGTATTACATCTTAAGGACTAAAGGTGACAGTGCTGGAGCAGTTTGGCTTTGTTTCATCTGTTTGTTTGTTTGTTCTTTTTTTTTCTCTCTGTCAGTTGAAATAATGCTCTTAATACATTATTCTTTCCACCTAGTTGAACACAGTGTATAAATACTCTAAACTCACTGTAAAGCAAAAAAATATTTTAATGAATTGAGTATTAATTTCTTGCCTGTAGGAGAAAGCAGTGGATCCTAAAACACGTTTACTTCTGTACAAGATGGTCAACGGTGGGATGCTGGAGACCATCACAGGCTGCATCAGCACAGGAAAAGAATCTGTTGTTTTTCATGCATATGGAGGACAGTAAGTATATTGTTTGTTACTGAGAGTAGCTTTAGGTACCAGAGATCGTTTACAAAGCAGAAACCACAAAAATATTTAAACCATCTGCACTTTTTTTCATTACCAAAACTTTAAACTTGTATTCATGTATGTGCAGACAATAATAAAATCTGAAAACCAAATGGTACCAACTGTAAGTAAAAAAAATCCCCACTTTCCTCCTTGGAAACCATTTAATAAACAGGAACAAAACCCCTATAGTTCTCTGTGGAAAAAAGTGTACTCCTTTTATTCCTTTTACTCCCTTGCCTGGCGACATGGTTTAATGGGTTAGGTGGTGTTGCGTTGACAGTTGTACTTGATGATCCTTGAGGTCTTTTCCAACCTTAATGATTCTATGATTCTGTTCACTTTGCAAGTCATGCAAGATTCCAGTTTTAAAGACTGCCATGCCAGAAGGATTGTAGTACGTTAGTAGTAATCGTAGTGCATTGAAATACCACTAGTTTAAAGTGAGTTAAGAAATAACTAATAAAACCCAAACACACGTAACCTATTTAGAGGTGTCGAGAAAGAGGTAAGTTGAGGGTGGGGAGTAAAGATGCACTTTTTTTTTTTTAGTTGACCTTTGCTTGAATGATGTTCAGGAGTGTTCTTTTGCTTAGCATTATTCAATGGGCAATAGCTTTGTGGTGCTCAACAAAACATTGTGATACTACCACTGTTATTACAATGCAAGACTTTTTTCACTTGTAATTTCTTGAAGCAAGTACATCCATTAATAGGGCTGTTATTAGCTATGATATTTAAGTAAAATATTAACAAAGTGGGAGATGGAACCTATTTGGTAAGAAACACATAATCAAAATGTTAAAACCCGAACATTCATATATGAACTTAATCATACAACTCTTACAAGCTTAACTTGAATTGGTTTCCACATTTGATACAAAATAATATCTTTTCCTCTCTTATGTTAAAAATCAGTGTATCTTGCAATGTTTTTTTAAAAAAAAAAAAACAAAAAACAAAAAAACAAAACCATGTATTTGCTCGTAAAGATGTGAATACTTAACCCTGTTATATATTTGATTTTTTTTTCCACGAGAAGTGCAACTGAAGATAAAGTTATACCTCCAGAATGTGCCATCAAAGTATTTAAAACAACTCTTAATGAATTCAAGAACCGTGACAAATATATTAAGGATGACTACAGATTTAAAGACCGCTTCAGTAAATTGAATCCACGAAAGATTATTCGTATGTGGGCCGAGAAAGAAATGCATAACTTAACAAGGTAAAGAAAAAAAAGTGTAGTTGCCAAATGCTGATTGGTTTCCTATTTTCTGTTTGAGGAAGGTACACTATGTCTGGGTAGGTTAGATTTGATTTTTAGGCTAAATAATATACAGTGTGACACAGACTGAGTAAGCCTCTGGTTTCTTACAGTTTAATGATTGTCAGCATCTTCAGGGATTTGGCAGCAGAATTTATAAGCCCATGAAGTTAATGGGGACAAGGTGTAAAAGTAATTAGTTTTCAGTGAGCAATTTTAGACCACTTATGACTTTAAGATCTGAATTTTCCCATGTGAAATGTGCATATTTATTCAGTTTTCAGTTAGGTCTGTTTCAAAGACTTTCTGACTCTGGATCAAGTTTCTCACACACAGCTCTCCAAGATTGGAAATGAGCAAGAAGGAACTAGAACTGTAGGGTTTGGGCATTTTTGTTTTTCTTAATCAGTATCTATTTTCTGGATCCACAGAATGCAAGATGCAGGAATTCCTTGTCCTCAAGTGGTTATCCTTAAGAAACACGTCTTGGTTATGTCTTTCATTGGCCAGGATCAAGTCCCAGCTCCTAAACTAAAGGATGTAACACTTAGTAGTGAAGATATGAAAAAGGCCTACTATCAGATTCTTAATGTAAGACAATGCTGATTTCTCCTCCAGTTCTGGGTTGTGTTTTCTTTTAGGGGAATAACTTAAAGAACAAATCAGCATTTATTTACTTTTCAGGATGCTTGCATCACTTTCAAGATACGGAGTCCAAAGGCTTATTTTGCTGCTGTTTAATGTGTGACTTAGAATAAATAAGAAATCATGCACTGAAAAAAAGAAATAAATTGAATCTTAATCTGAGTGGAAACCATGCTGGAACTTGATAACAGATAATTAGCAGCAGAGGAATTATGAGCAAGCAGTCCTTCTTTTAGAGAAGTAGTATGTGGTTTAGTAAGTTCTCTGAAGTCTTTCTGGGCTTGCCAAATACTTCATTTACAATGCTTAAGCACTCTCCAGTGGATAATCCCCTCCTCACCCCCCTTTTGAACAAATCTAGAAATCGGAGAACACTTGAGAATATTTTGTGGTAGATACTTTACTTTCTATTATCTGCTGTAATTGGTTCAAACATGTACATGCGAACTGTCCACTCACTATTAGCTTCCTATAGACATTTAAAAAAAAACCCCAAACAGTCCAGTAGCATGATAATATGAATGGGCTGTGCCTCAAACCTTGGGACCAGTAGAGCAACACAACCAAGTGAATATGCATAGTAGTTAGGATTCAGTATCTAAAACTGAGAGACTCCTTTCCTGTGTGATAGGGGTGACAATGACAGGTATATTTAGAGAATGTGTTTATCTTTCTCATGCATGTGGACTGGTTGGCAGAGCTGACACGAATTTACCAGACTGATTCTTCTGACTTGCAAAGCTAAGCTCAGTCATAAAAGCTTAGTTTGCTGGCAGTTTACCAAAACTGTGATTCCTTGTATGAAACTTGACTGAAGAGTTGGAAAAAAATTACTTACATTGCGCAAGTGATTGGGAAAAGGCTGGTTTTTGTTATAGTCATGCAAACAATATTTATTTGGAGTATAGCATACTTCATTCATTCATTAATTTGGTTCCTTGCAGATGATGCAGCAGTTGTATAAGGAGTGCAACCTGGTCCATGCAGATCTGAGTGAATACAACATGCTTTGGCATGATGGGAAGGTGAGCTTATTCTTAATGTGGGAAGGAAAGGTTTCATTTAATGTGAAACGTTAATACAAAGTGAATTGCTTTCTCTCTGTGACTACAGGTCTGGCTTATTGATGTCAGTCAGTCTGTGGAGCCAACCCATCCTCATGGACTTGAGTTTTTGTTCAGAGACTGTAGGAATGTTTCACAGGTAGGACCTCTTCGTTTGACTGTCCTCTGTTATGCTGAATGTTTTCCAAGATAAAATCAATTCAGAGCTAACTAAAAAACAACTAATAGAACTCTGTAAAAAATTATCAGTACCACCTATACATAAGATTATTCTTGCATATTGTCCATACTGATGGTGTTCTTCTCCAAAAAGGAAAAAAGTGTGGAAGAATACAACAATACCACTAGAACTTAAAACTTGTTTCAGTTATTTTTATTTGTGGGTCAACAAAACGAAAAATGTCATTTTGACTAAATATTGTAATTGTAACTTGGGGAAAGAAAAGGAGTGCTGTGTTTTGTGTAGTGTTTAATGTTTGCTTTTTATATTGACTAGTTCTTCCAGAAAGGAGGTGTGGCAGAAGCACTTAATGAGCGTGAACTCTTCAATGCTGTCTCAGGTTTAAATATTACAGCTGACAATGAAGTAGACTTCCAAGCAGAGGTATAGCTTTCTCTCTGTCTAACCTTTCAATTTGGTTAGCTGTAGTACCTACTGTAATACCTTAATGTGTGTATGACTTCAGCAATCATTCTGCATCTCTTTTTTTTTTTTAAACTTGATTATTTCAACATAGTTGAAAAATTATTTCTGACACTCAGATTGATAGACCTCTCCACCCCCTTTCCTGATCTCCCCACTTCCAAGTATAAAAGGCTTCATGTTGCATATAATCGCTTCTTTCAGTGTTAAGGGAAATTTGGTGATCTATTTTAGTTTAAAAGATAGCTTTGTTGTCTTTCCTTACATATGTCAAAGGTTGTGCAGAGAAAGGAAAGCTAGGTTAAAAATAATATTAATTGTTATACTGCTTATTTTTCATGTTTTAGACTTTAACTTACTTGAATTTGAAGCTTAGGCTAACATTTTCAATTTTCAAGCCTCAAGTTCTGCTAATCAATGGACTAGGAACCTTTGGCCACTTTTGGCTTTTAAGTTTCAAATTTTAGCTGTAACTCTTCAAGGTGTGCATCCTGATACCAGACATTTATAAAAATAAGTTGTCAAACATATTTACTGATTAAAGTAAAGGCTACATGGCAAGTCTACTTGATTCCTAATGACAATGTAGGTTTATGGTAGTCAAGCATATAGTAGGTGGGAGCTTGAAACTAGTTAACTGCTGGGATAGGTCCTCAAACTGAGGAAGAGGTAAAAGGAACACAATATCACTGTTACAAGATCAGTTGTAACAGTGTGTATCAGTTAATCGAGGGAAAACCAATTCCCTCGCTGGCTGTGTTGTGAGCATTGGTGTAGGGGCGAGTTTTGTTGTCGTAGTTTTATGTCATCTTTTTTGCTTATAAATTTACAGAAAATACTTACATTGCTGTTTACGTATAGGTGAATTTGAGCAGCCCATCCTTAAACTTCACATTTTGACTGTAGTCGCTAGTAACTAAAGTTATTTCCCCTGGAGTACAAGAGGAAGTAATCCAAACATAACAATCTGAAGACAGTAAGCTACCGTACTGTGTTACATTGATTGCACAAAACATCCAAGTATAATTGTCTTCAACTTTCACCATTAAAAGCGATTGCAGTGGATTTGTAATCTTAATATTACATTCCGGTGCTGATGGATTGGCTGAATTACTGTAGGAGGTGTTCGGAGTTGGAGAAAGGGACACTTCTGTACTTTGGGGAATACAGCTGAAGTCTTCAGAATCATCCAGTCCTCCCTGCAACTCATGCATTTTGGTTATACAGCATGAAATTATAAAGCAGTGGTACTCATTTTACTGATCTGCTGAGAACAAATGTTTCAAGCTGTACTTCTATAGTATATTGCCCCATACATGTGACTGAATCGTTGAAATAGAAATATTGCATATACCTGATCACTCATCTGAAGCTGTTTTTAATGCTGTTTAGAGACATTCTGATGCATGCATGGTTTTATGATTTCAGCATGGATTTATTTTTGTCTGTCTAGATTGAAGCTTTAGAGAAGATGAATGAAGATCATGTGCAGAATCATGGAAAGAAACTGTCAATGTTTTCAAGCGATGGAGACCCACCTATATATGATGAATAGCACTAATGAGCTGCTAATGAAACAAAACACAAATTTACTGCTTCTAACTATGTTGGTGCAGTGGTAGATGTCAACTACCAATGTCAAGAGGGAGTGGTTGACGGGAAATACCAAAATGGAAAACGCAGCGAGCATACGGTGATGCCTCAGTGTTTTGTTTTTTGTTTTGATTTGTTTTTTTAACTTAGCCCACACATCAGACTGGCACTGTAAGAATGGACTGTCGCTATGTCTTCAGATGGTCAGACAACTTCACCAATTGCCCAGTTACATTAGACTAATGTAGCTGAGGTGGTCATATTTTGCATGATTCAGAGCTTATATGTTTTAGTTTAAAAAAAAAAATCATCTAGATCATCTAAACTATTTAGTGGCGAAGCATCCTAGGAGGTTCCTTCTTTTTTTTTCCCTATTGGTAATTGAAAAACTAATTAAAAATTGTGTGCGGATGCAGTGTCAGTGAACCTTTCATCCTTCTCCACCAAGGGCAAAATGAAAAGTCAAACTATGCACTGCAGTCATATGAAAATGTTAATTTAACAAACCCGTGTCTTTATATACGCAAAAGTCTGAACCTTTTCATTTGAAGTACATGGAATGTGGCTCTATCTCTGTAAACACAATTGGGTATTACATGAGAAACAGATTTGAATCCAACCAGCAGAGAGGACTTCTTTGGTGATGTGCCAGCAAGTCCTGAGGGCTGCATCCAAGCTGTATAACAAAGAGTAAGTTCAGTTAGTTTCACTCTGAATATACAAGTGGTTCCAAGAACTTGGTGCAAGCAAAAAAAAAAACAACAAACAAAAAAACAAACAAAAAAACCCCCCTGTAATAATCCTGTCTCTAAACTGAAATTCTGGATAGAGCATCAAACATTCTTACTCACTCTGAAGATAATAATAGACTATGAAAAATAAATATTGATCATCATTATTTTTAAATGAAGCTTTTTGCTTACAGGTGCAAAAAGCATACTCAAATTTGTCTTTTTCTCATGCTGTTATTATTAATATCAGTCTTTTTATTTTAGCAAGTTCTAAAACTCTAGCAATGTTTCTCTCCCAAACAACACGTTTAAAGTTGAACTGATGTAGTGGGATGGTTTGGAATTAAGAAATTCTGTTTGACTTTTAAATTCTGATTGCTCTTTATCAAGCAGAATATGGTGCTGCTACATGTGACATTCTCACAGTATGCTGTGAAAGTGGTTTTTTTAAAATAATTTTTTGTTGAAAAATGGGTGGTGAAGTAAAAACTTAAGACCTTGTAGTGGTATTCTTGTGTGGTTCTTTGGCTTGTACAGGCCTTCATTGATCCTTGGTGTCATACTAAAGCAGTGTTAGGGTAGGACTACCCTAGTTCATTATAACAATAGAAGAATGACTGTTCTGTTGCGTACTACATACACAGTAAACAACCTTGATGTTTTCTGACAGTTTTATCCGAGTACTTGGATCCTCTTCCCTTTTCTACATTAGACATTTAGCCCTTACTTTTGAAATAAAGGAACTTGTGACTTTGGAGACCTAAACCTATTCTTGATTGCTCACTGTAACAGTTGCCCAAAATACCAATACCAGGGAAAGAACAGATTAAGGACTGAGAGGGAGGTGCTACAGTTATCTAACCCCTTCAGGAAGACTAAAAGCTAGTGTCAAATGTAATAAAATCTTCAGAGGAGGCTTTAAAAAAAAAAAGTCCTATTCTAGGCCTATTACAACCTTTAATACTTGAAAAAAAATCTCTCAAAGCAGTTGCTAATACCTTACAATGTATGTGTCTAGGAAAGATGCTGATTGGTAAGAATATTTACATTAAGTGAGAGGAAAAGAGAGAACAGAAATAAGGGAAAGTGAGGGGAGGGTGTGTTTTGAGCTGTCATTTGAAACAGATGAACCTGCTTGTATCATTGTGCTTGGACTGAAGCCTCTGTTACTGTAATTTTAAATTTATTTGTAAAACCTCTCTAGCACATTTTCAAAAAAACCCACAAAAAAACATAATTAAGCAGTGGTCCTTAAGTCTGTGCTTTAAAGCTACTGGGCCTGATTATATTGCTTAATCACTTCCAGCCATAAAATTAGCTCAGGAATTTGCTCTGAGATTTTAAGACATCTGGGCATGTTGTCAAGTAGCTGAAAACAAGGAAGTAGTTGCTAAAACAAGCATTTTCCTAGACTCCTTAGAAATAAAAGGTTCTAGAATTATTATTAAGCAAATAGAATCTTAGAAGTAAATCTAGATTTTTCATTGTTAATTAAGCCATTGGCTTAATTATATTTTCTGACATTATGACTGTTCCAATGGCCAATTCTAAACAATAGTTTCAAGTTGTGTGTTCATATATTTGTCAGCTGGTTTTCCCCCCACATACCTCAGTTTTCTACTATCTTAATATTCCTATTGCAATTACAGAAAGTGCTTGCTGTAGGAAAGTAGTAGAAGGTTAAATATCAGTAGAATTTCTTAAATTTTGAGCTTGGTTTAACTAAATTTTTGGCTAGCAACGCCATGAATTTTTAATTTTGTAAACAGTTATAACCTTTAAGGTATTTTAAATGCTCTGCAAGTACTTGTCCTTTCTAGTTAACATAGAATTGTTTGATGACACAGGAGAGTTCTGCAGAACAAATAGCTTGTTGTAATTCCTAGTTGTGACTTCAGTTTTTCTAGTCTGATTTGAAATTATTCAGTTGGACTGAGTCATGTGTCAGCAAGCAGTTGGCTGTGTGATACTGTGTTAGTATCTGGTAATTAAATTTGTATTCTTCTGTACTAAGTTGTGCCATTCTGCTCTAATCTGAAAACTTTTAATTTGGTATAATCTTCTTTTTTTTTGCCTCTGTTTTTTATTTCCTTTATGTCCCTTTCTGAACCTGGTGGCCAATAAGCAGATACATAATCGATTATGTTCTCACACAACTTCCGAATTATACTGTAGGTTTCACAACTACTGAACTAAGGCATTAGCCTTAACATCAACCCCCCCAAAATCACAACTTTGCTAGTTTATTGCCCAAACTGAAATACAAGTAAGCATAGATGCTGAGAAACAACCCAGACTAACTTCAGTAATGCTTTAATAGCATTGTTCCTGAGAAAAGGACTTTTCAGAGGATAAGTTGAATTCCCCTTTCTGATCTGTAACTGTAGCCACTAAAAAGCAGCTTCACAGATAAAAGCAGTGCTCATAGTGAATGTCTTTCAGTCACAATGCAGTGAGGTGTGGACAAAGTAAGGCAGAGCTGTGAAGCAGTTGGTTCCTTCCCCCTCTTAAAATTCTTGGTGGTGTTTTGTTGTTGTTGGTAGGTTTGGGTTTTATTTGTTTGTTTTTTTAAAGCACTATAAAAGGTTGGGCCAAACGTATTTATCACCTGCATGACGTGTCTCGGCTGCAGATATTCTCCTTCCAGGACGCCAGCAAAGCCACCGGTTGTTCCTCCAAGAGGCCGTTCCAGGTACGGGAAGGGATGTCAGCCAGACCCTGCGGCCGCTCGCCGGGAAGGGCCCGGTTGTCCCGCCACGGTCCGAGGGGGCCTCCGCCTAGCGGGCACTCCGAGC